TGGTTATTAATTATGATATGGCAAAGACCATTGAAGGTATTATCATATACTACTGAAGTATTGTCTCTTAGAAATGTATAGGAACAGATCATATGTTAAATTTTATTCCCGACTATACAGAAACATGAATATCTTAATGCGTAGTAACTATGTGGGATATTTGCTAGGAAAATGATTTTGTGAATAAAAATTAAACTATATAGTTACTATGAAATTTAATACGTAGTCACTACGTATGCAGCTAATGTGCATTAAGATATTCAAGTTTCTGTAAAGGATATTTGATTTAGTGCACCAAGATCGATTTAAACATTAGTTTTCGAGAATTTTGCTTTTTCTTTCGCACGTGTTTGGATTTTGATTGTTTTTAATATCGATATTTTATTATGCGAATTGGTTTAAAAACACTTTAAAATAAATATTTTTTTTTTAAATATATAATATATATTTTTTGGGTTTAGCTTGAATTTAGAAATATTCAGCATATCCTAGCCTATTTTATACCTTCTCAAACACTATTTTCCTTGTCTCTGGCCTAAATTAGAATCATGATTAAATATACACAAAAACTCTATCAGTTTTGTTAATCATAAAAAAAAAAAAATTATCTCAAAATTTTGCTATAAAACAAAGTTTTATGTATTATAATTTTAGTACATATAACCTTTAAATTCTTAATTCTAATCTCAAAATCAGCTTAGCGCAGGCCGATGTCGATCAATCTAATTAATGCAAATTAGCCTTCAAAAATAAATTCCAGCTTCTACAAAATTTTTCATTTTTTTATATCGGCAACTTTATGCAACGACTTTTATTGTTTTTTTTTTCTTTGCTTCGGGACATTACACTTTATTTTATTTAATTTGTTTTATTGATGTAAATAAACATGAAATAAATACAAACATGGTCACTGGATATGGATGTTATCGACTCATTCGGTTTTATTTATTAATCGGTTGTTATAAGAGTTAAATATACAAGCCGAATCAAGTCGATAACACCTCCAGTTATTGAGCAGATTTAATTTTTTGAGACTAAGACGGCTTAGCTATATCAAAATTATCGACTTGCTAAGCCTGAAAATTTTTAATAGACTACAATCACTATTGAAAAATAGTCTCCTCGTGTTTTCTTTTAGAGACATAAGTTCCGGGCTTGGCCATCGCATTAGGATGAGATGCCAATTCAGGAGGCACACGAGATATTGGTGACTTCAACATCATTTGTTTCAAGTCATACCTATATATCAAATAAATATATTAAACTGAAATACAACATTTTAGATAGAAAATGCGTGAATAATCAAACTTACATTACATCCGCATCAGCGTTAGATAAGAACGTAATGGCAACTCCAGATTTTCCAGCACGTCCAGTACGACCAATGCGATGTGTATAATCTATAAAAGTATAAATATGAGCTTCGTTAACATTTCTAAGAGACAATACTTCAGTAGTATATGATAATACCTTCAATGGTCTTTGCCATATCATAATTAATAACCA